CTTCTTCTTCTTCTTCGTTTTAGTCTCAGTTCTCTGCTTCTTCTTCTTCATTTCAGTTCTGAAAGGAATGGAAATAGCCAAGAATCTCTGCCAAGAACTTTTCCTTGGCAAACAAATAAGGACTTGATAACAAACAAACAAATGTCATTGTGCTTCAGCACTGTCATATTCCTTTCCAATAAGAATCTCTTCTATTTCCATTCATTGTGCTTCTAAGTACTACTGTATTTTATATGATAATTTTGAAGAAAGTACTACTGTATTGAACTTTTTGTTTTCGGCTGAATTTGAATCTGGTATGAGATTCGAAAGAAGAAGAGGAAAATGAGTCGGAGAAGATGACGGAAAGTGGAGGAGACAATGGTGGAAATGATGGTGGACATAAAAAAGAAGAAGGAAATAAAAAAAATAAAAAAAATCTATTTTTTGGGCTTTTCACGCGCCCATATTGGGTGAAACTCACTCTATGTGCTAACTCAGCAAGAAGTGTTTAATCGGAACAAAGTTATACGTGCTCAATAGGAACTCTCTTAAGTTCAGGTGTCTAAATAAAAGATCGTGCCAACTTTAAATGTCTGCATTTAAATATTCGGCCTAAAATAAACGCAAATCAGAAGAAATAGATGCCATCTTACCTTTTGTCGATGAAAAAGTTTCCAAAGGAGAAAATCGAGTGGCACCGAAAAGGAGGAAAGAAAAAGCCACCTGTGGCAATCTTGCAACAGCAAGGCAAACCCAACTTCCAACACCTGTTAAAACTTGAACTCCTTCATCTATTTGTATATAAAGGAAAGACCCAATGGGATCATTGTTCAGTTCACCTCAGATTAGCAAAGAACAAATGGAGATAGCCCTTACCAAAGCCAAACAGATCGTTTCCTCTAACCCCGTCGTCGTCTTCAGGTATTATTACCTACTTTTTCTGGGGTTTCTCTCTTGATTTCAGTTTCAATTTTAAAACTATTAAGTAGTAGTAATAAAAAGAGGAATCTTTTACTTTTCCAATTTGGTTTTTTATGTTTCAAAAAAAAATGGGGAATATGAACTGGTTTATTGAGAATTTGGCCTATTTTATTTATTGCAAGATTCGGGAGAGGAAAGGGGAATTTTAGGAAAACGATCTTTTTTTCTCTAGCATTAAAAATATCAGGATATAATGACTCCATGCTGTTTAATTGCTTTTTCTTCGTGCAGTAAAACATATTGCGGATATTGCACGAGGGTGAAGCAGCTTCTTTCCCAACTTGGTGCTACTTTCAAAGTTATTGAACTTGATCAGGAAAGTGAGTCATTCCACATGGAAATTGCTTCTATGTTCTTTATACATCCTTATTGCTGCAAAACATTGTGATTTCTATCCCCCCTAAATCTAGTTTTATCTCAAGATGCAATAAAGATCCTCTCTGCTTTTTCTCTTCTATTTTCCTTTTCTTTTTGAGTACTGAAAGATTGAGATTGAGCAGAAAAATTTGAATTTCTGTTAGCTGATTAGTTTCACTTGTTAAGAGGAAGGTTAGTAAATGTATAGAATGCATGCCTTATAGTACGTATGCAACAGTTACCAGGTAACGAATGCACCTAGTGTTTTCCCCTCCGCTGGCTTTGAACCCGAGACCTCATCGTTCTCACCCTTGGGTGCTACCTTCTTGTTTTATTTATTAAAGAATGTCACCTTTTTATATTTCGTAAGTTCTCAGGTTGGACATTCTCATTTTTCCCTCCTCATAGGAATGACATGACATCTTTTAGACATTCAAAAGATATTTGTGGTATATGAAGATCACGGTATTAGAATTCTTATTTAAACTTCGTTCACAGTCAAACAAAGATACATAAATTGAAATGAAAAGCATATGCTATTTTTTTTTTTCATTGCCCAAGTCTTGGTTCATAGACTTGTGCTTGGTTGACAGATTTGTGCTGGGTGAGGGATAGCAGGTATGCTGTAAAATAGTTGAGGTGTGCCCAATCTAGTAGGAGATATCTGATTGAATATTCAAGGTGTGCCCATCATTTTAGGGTCAGAACCAGCTTTCTCTTCTTTTAATTTTTTCCTTTTTATTTATTTTTTTTTTTTG